TGCTGCCTACAAAGACCATACATATGATCTTATTCTTTTAATAAACCCTATTAAGGGGCAATGCAGTAGAGAGTGCTAGCCCTCTAGCATGTGGTACTCCTTCCAATTATTATGTTGATGGCAGTGGCTATTCCCAAAGCGATGTAAGTTACACAGGAGTAAGGAAAAGTGGAACCTCACCAGGAGGACAGAAATGTGGCTTGCGAGCAGCATTTCGCCACACTTACAAAAGTTGTAAGTAATAGATGTAAGGTTGCCATCTCTGGGGTTGGAAATACCCAAAGATTGGGGGGGGAGCCCGAGGGGGGCGGGGTTTGGAGAGGGGAGGGACTTCAGCAGGGTGCGATAGAGTCCACCTTCCGAAGAGGCCATTTTCTCCAGGGGAACTGATTTCTGTCACCTGGAGATCAGTTGAAATCCAGGATATCTCCAGCCACCACCTGGAGGCTGGCAACCATAAATAAATGTGGTAATAGGATGAGTGTGCACACTGTAAGTAACTATGGTGGTCACATACTGCAAACTGAGCTATACTGATACAGTCGGATCTGGCATCTGAGGGAGGAAGACAGGAAAGGAGGCAGAGATCTCCAGGCTGTGGCCTTGATGTAGGGTTGTCACCTCTGGGTTGGGAAAATGTGAATTTTATCATACCTTATTGTTTTATTGTATTTTAATCTGTCTGTATGATGCCTTGAGCCAGTTCGCCTGGCAAGGCAAGATATAAATTGAAAGTAATAAATAATAAAAAATAAATAATAAATACCTGGAGATGTTGGGCGTGGAGCCTGGGAAGGGAGTAGGGTTGCCAACTTTTGGGGGCCCCAATCCACCACCAGCCAGCTGGCCGACAGGGGAATCCCACCCCCGAAGAGCCCCACCACCCCCGATGTGCGCTGTTCGATGATTTCACCTGGAGGTGATGTCATCACGCTAGGCACATCGCACGGGGGATGCTCTAGCACTTGGCTAAAAACTCCATGGTCACCAACGATGTCACTTCCAGAAGATCCCAGGACCAAGCCAGAAGCCCCCCAGTGGCAGATGGGTAAGATCTGGCAACCCTAGGAGGGTGGGGTTTGGGGAAGGAAGCGACCTCAACAGGCTATAAGGTCATAGAGTCTACCCTCCAAATCAGCCATTTTCTCCAGGGGAACTGATCTTGATTATTTGGAGATCAACTGTAATAGCCAGAGATCTCCAGGTGCCACCTGGAGGCTAGCAAACCTACTTTGATGAAGATGCTCTGCCAGCTTTTTGCCAGCTGTTACATCTGGGAGAAGGACAAAGAGCAGGAAGAGAAGGGTTCGGGGGCATTCAAGAGGCTGAGGGATGGAGACTAGTGGGATTCCAGGGCAATTGGTTGGGCACCATGTGAAACAGGACGCTGGACTAAATGGACCAATGTTGTGATCCATCAGGGCTCTTCTTATGTGGTTATGGGGCCTGAAATCCAGGGGAATTTTTTTTAAGGTAGCTTATAGGAATGGACTACGAGTTCAAAATGGCCCAGGAAAGGGAGGGGGGAGAAAAACTAGTGTGCCTTGAGTTTTAAGAGGTTTTTGCATTTCCTTTTGTTGACAATCGGTGGCATAGGAATTGCCCTGATGTAAATCCTTACTATTTCTATGACTAATTAATTAAAGTAGAGTACTTGGATTAAAGCCTACTGAGCTGCTTAGTGGATTTTTTCCTGAGTAATTAAGGGGAGAGGGAGAAAAGGTCGCCGAAACCATAAGCTTCTGGCTTGCTTTCATTTTCACTAGGAGCAACTTTCAATTCAACACTGGGCAGCAATGGCAGGGATTAACAGTGGGATGTGCGAAATCCCAGTGTTAATTCCAAAGCACACAGGATAAAGGCCACCATTTGTGCTACATCATGGCATTAGAATGTGAGTTTCCCTTTCTTCTGGATGTGACCGTGTGGGGAAAGAGATACAGGCATCGCACCACCATTTATGTGCTGGTGAGTTGCAGCTGCAGCTCTGAAAGGAAGGAGAAATCCCCTTGAAAACACAGGCGTCCTGTGCTGGGAATTTAGGGACCACAAGATCTCCATAATGCATTTGCTCTGTCTCAAACCACCAACTGGTGCTCATTCTGTCCTTATCCGTTGGAATCCAAGACAGCAGTTAAAGACAACCTGCAGGCACATTATCTACCAGCCTCTTCAAATTAGGTATGTTCATGCACCCACTGGTTCAGCTCATGTTCTGGTCACGAGCAGGGAGATGATTTTTGATGGAACAGTCTGTCTCTTCAAAGCAGCTGGAGCCTAATTGGTGAGTTACTTTCCACAGAGTCATACTGTGCAGTACAGCCCAATCAGAAGTATTTTTAGGGTTGACAGCCTCCAGGGGGGGCTTGGAGATCTCCTGGAATTATGACAGAGCTCCAGACTACAGAGATCAGTCCCCCTGGAGCAAGCGGCTGCTTTGGAAGGTGGACTCAATAGCAGAATACCCCGATAAGGTCCCTCCCCTTCCCCAAACCCCACCCTCCACAAGCTCCACCCCCAGATCTCCAGGAATTTCCATGCCTGAGTTGGCAACCCTAGTGTTTTATGCACGTACAACCCATGCCAACTTTCTTACTATTTGGTATTCATCTAAGGTCCAAATTAGATGTGTTTTGCTATGAGATGAGCTGGGGGGGGACACTTTCAGATCAGGAAAACGCCCCAAGGCAGAGAGATGACATGCCAACTCCCTCTGTGCCACTGTCCCCATCTGAACGGGTGCCCAGCATGCATGGAAAAGTCCTTCCTAGCAGCCCTCCACCTGTCTGGGAGAGAAGCAGAATCAAGTTGGGGATATAAACCCAGGCTCAAGTTGTGGCAAAGCATATCATCTAGTTTGGGACCTAAGTCCATATACATTTGTGCATTTTCCTTCTTAGTATTCTCTAAAATCCAGCTAATTCTGTCCATTCTGAACAGTAGCCACTAAGTTTTAGCTAGCCCTGTGATGAGAGAGAATAGGCTGATCAATAGACTTCTGCCTTTTCCTAAATTCTCATTGGGTTTTTTTAGTAGGCTTAAAAAAACAACAACGGATAAATGGTTGCAACATTTACCTTTGAAATGGCTCCAGTGTTAAAACTAAATTTAGTCTGGTTTTGGTGTCTCTGGAGCCATCCTAAGTCTTGTTGGAGAGATGAAAATTAGATTCCGGAAAGACCCCCCCCCCCCCATCCAATAACAGAGGAAACATCTCCCCCACACACAAATACACACCGCAACCGCTGGAACAGTAGTACACAGTCTGGGAACAGACAGGAATATGCTTGAACAGGTACGAAGCTGCCTTATACTGAACCAGACCCTTGGTACATCAAGATCAGTACTGTCTACACAGACTGGCAATTGCTCTCCAAGGTCTCAGGCGAAGGTCTTTCACATCACCTCCTGCCTGGTCCTTTTAACTGGAGATGTGGGGGATTGAACGCGCAACCTTCTGCACGCAAAGCAGAGGCTCTTCCACTGAACCACAGCTGCTCCCATTCCTGAATCACTCACTGCTGCACCCCCATCCCCACTTCTTTTTTCAGTTGCAGTGCCAGGGCTTTTTTTCTGGGGGAATGCACTGGAACAAAATTCCAGAACCTTTTCAACAAAATTGTTTTTAAAATGTTTAAAAGTTCATGAGTTTTCAGTATTCAGATTGAAAACTTTATTTCCCTCTTGAGCGTTCCAGCACCTCCCCCCCAAAGGTGCACCCTTGGAAAAGTGCAGATGCAACAGTGATCATGCTGGGTCCCCCGCAGCCCAGAATGCCCCTGACTTCACACTCTTTCTTTTCCTAACAAGTTGCACTATAATGTTACAATGTAGTTTGGCAGGGAGAAGGGAAATAGCTCCTTAAAGAGCTTAAAAGGGTGGTGGAGGAGTGAGTTTAGCTCCACCCTCTTTCCATGCTGGCTATGGGGGATTGTCTAGATCAGATATGTCAAACTCATTTGTTACGAGGGCCAGATCTGACATAAATGTCACTTTGTCGGGCCGGGCCACGTGTGCCATAAAATGTAATATCAGGTACCGGAGATATAAGCTTCATAAAGGACACAGGCAAACCCAATTAATAATATAATTTTTTACTCAAAATACAAACAAAATTGTATTTTGAACTGATTCCTAGGAGTGGAAGCTATTGATTTACTGGGGAACCCACAAAAACTCCAATAAATGTATTTAATCACATGCAAGGCTAGGTTTTTTTCCAAGGGATACTGTAAAAGGGGGAGTACCTGACATTTCCATACGTACCAGTTGCTTGAGGGCCGGGTAAGAGCTCTGGAAGGGCCTGCTCTGGCCCCAGGGCCTTGTGTTTGACACCCTGTGTCTAGATCAATGCTCCACCCACAACTAATATCCCCCTAACTTGAGCGAAATTGTTTTTTTCTAGGACAGGGGTGGGGGTGGGGACAAGAGGCAGACAAGGCATGCACACATTTGTTATGTGTGACATTACCTGGATGTTTGCCTTTACTATGAGGGCTTCCTGTTAACCATGCAGGGGAAAAACCCTATGCAGAAGCAGCCAGAGAGTTTGTTATTTAGACACTGACAATTGTGCCCCCCCCCCTAACTGCAATAAAACATCTCTGATGCACAATGATTTTCACAGATCAATCTGCAGGGGGTTGATGGGACCAATGGAAAGATAAGACAGAGTTTTGAAACAGCTTTCTGTATTTTCTGAGAACCACATCCTTTTCATCACCTCTGTTTTTCTACAGTCCTCTCCTTCCAGATCCTTCCACCTTCTTTTTCAAACCTTTATTATCTGTCGCAGCTTTTATCTCCTCTCACAAAGGGCAAGCACATTCGTGGGAAGGCCTGCCTAACTCTGTAGGGACTGGTAATGAGCAAGTGAAGAGCCAAATTTTGAAATAGCTGAGGGGAAAGGAGAGGAAGAGTCCACCGGTAAATTGCTTGCTCCTTTTCTCCCCCTTGGTGTATTTCCCATTCTCCTCATGCTCCCTCTTCAAGGTTCTCACCAAGGCAGGTCTGCCCATCTGGTCCCAGCGTTGTCCCCAAAGAGCAGACACAGCCTCTGGGCTCCAGACACGAAGTGCCGCAATCGATCCTGTCACAGATGTCATAGAAGTCTGCAGGATGACAAAACTGGTTTGTTAAAACATATCTTATCTACGGCTTCCGTATTCTGCATTCTCAGTCAGGGATCCCCAACCTTTTTGAGCCTGTGTGCACCTTTGGAATTCTCTCCCGAAGGCAGAACCAGCCGCAAAACGGCTGCCACAGCTTCCCTTCAGACACACCCTGAAGATCCTTGGGCCCTGACAGCCGCTGTTGCCAAAGCAACCGATGTTCCCTCTAAGCTGTGGAGTCTTGTGAGCAAAAATTCTACTTTGTGAGCTACTGGCATGAAAGTTGTGAGTGAGCGATTTGGCAGCTGCATAAATTAGTTTGCTCGGGAGCCCTCCTTCCTGAGCTAAGACAAAAATCTGTGAGCCAGAGGGTAAAAAAACTGTGAGCTAGCTCACACTAACTCAGCTTAGAGGGAACACTGAAAGCGACATGTTTAAAAATCTGCACAGCCAATCAAAGCTCCAGAGGCCAATTAGAAGACTTGCTGGGCAAAAGCACCGCCTGGCCCTGCCCATTTTCTACAAACACTTGCCAACCACCAGGTGGTGGCTGGAGATTTCCTGGGGTTATTACAACTGATCTCCAGGAGACACAGATCAGTCCACCTGGAGAAAATGTCTACTATGGAAGGGGGATTCTATGTCATTTTATCCCACTGGAGTCCCTCCCCTCCTCAGACTCCACCCCCCCAAATCTCCAGGTATTTCCCAATCTGGAGCTGGCAACCCTACTTGGTGGGCACCAAAGCACCCACAGGCACCACACTGGGAGCCCCTGTTCTCAGTTAAGGAGCCCAGGGGCAGGCCTGGCAGTAAGCCCAAGCGTGGTAGGACTGGTCGCTGCTTAGTGGTGGGAGGAGACTGAGAGCACAGCATAGGCTGGGGTGGAAGAGCACTGTGGACCCCCCCCCCACAGACACACCTGTGCTCTCCATCAGATCTACTTATCTTTCTGAATTGAGCTCCACTACTGAGATAACCCCTGCCAGAAGGCAACCGTGGCTGGGGAGAAGCTAGTTTTGGAGGGAAAGTGGTTTGCCCTCTGTTTTGCGGGAATATTAATCACATCTTTGTTAGTAAATTACACTGAGATTAATGGGATTAGAAGCAGAGTGTTAGACTTTCATTATCTAAGAGGACAGTCACACAAGATTATTTAATGTGAAGGGCTGTGAACTAATTAAAGACTTTGGAGCTGAGTAATTATCTGTCTTTTAACTGATGCACTGATGGATTATATTTGCATTTAAGCCTCACTGTGTATGTTTGTACCCAGACTAAAGGCAGGGCAAGGCAGTTAACGATATAATAAACCAATAGTGCCACTCATTGGCTTGGATGCCTCCTAGATTCCCTTGGGCGAAAGCAAGACCTTTGATTCCTCCCCTCCTCCAAGCGACAACTGATGGCCTCCCATCCCCCAGGAGAAGCATTGGAGGGGGGAGGCACGTTGGACCGGCAGTGGAAGGGAGGAAAACTTCCCCTCTGCCACCTGGAAATCTAGGCAAGAACCAACCAAATGTTAGAAGAAATGTCTTTAATGCCTTTGTTTGTATTCCTTATTACAGCTGAAAACAAAACAAAATATTAAAATAAGCCTAAGCAAAAAGACTGCATCCATTCAATTAACAGTGGGGAATAAAAGACTCCAGTTAACACAGGGCTGTAAGATGTCTCTTATACATTCTTGCTGAAAGACAGTACACATCCTGTTGCTAGATGCTTCCCACATAGTGGATGATTTAGTACTTCCTGTATAGCTCCTCTTAAACATGAGCAAAACTAGCCCTTGTAGCCTCTGCCCACATGGGGAGTACCAGTCAAAGGTTCTAAAGTAGCTGTAGTAGAGAAGACTCAGCTCTGCCTGAAACACCGGAGAGCTTGTACCAGTCAGAGAACAGGCGCTAAAGGGCTACACAGGGCAACAAGTACCAATCTGCATACTGTAGCTACTTATGTGGGCTGTGTGAGGTAGGGTCCATGGCTTAATGGTACAGCACCTGCTTTGCATACAGACGAGGCTCAATCCCTGAAATCCAGCTAAGGCAGTCGGTCATGTGAAAGATCTCTGCCTGAGACCCTGGAGTACTGCTGTCAGTCAAAATAAACAATACTCACTCAGAGTAAACTTATTCTAACTCAGAATAAGGCAGCTTCATGTGTGTATATAAGCCACCTATCAAGGTTAAGGCTAGGGAAAAAACAGAATCACAGGAAGGGGACACTACCCTTCCTGTAGTCGAGTTATGCAACAAGACTGAGCTCTGGGTCTAGGTAAGTAGCGTCTTGTGTGCCTACTATTGCTATGGTTGCCAGCTCCAGGCTGGAAAATACCTGGAGTTTTGGGGGGGCAGGGTTTGGGGAGGGGCAGGACTTCAACAAGCTAGAATGTCCTCGAGTCCACCCTCCAAAGCACTCATTTTCTCCAGGTGAACTGATCTCTGTCACCTGGATCAGTGTTCCCTCTAAACTGAGTTTGTGTGAGCTAGCTCACAGTTTTTTAGCCTCCAGCTCACACATTTTTGCCTTAGCTCAGGAAGGATGGCTCCAGAGCAAACAAATTTAGGCAGTAGCCAAATCGCTTGCTCACAACTTTAATGCCGGTAGCTCACAAACTAGATTTTTTGCTCACAAGACTCCACAGCTTAGAGGGAACACTGGTTGTAATAGTGGGAGATTTTCAGCCCCCACTTGGAGGCTGGGAACCCATTGCAGTGGCGACTGCTGATAACCGCAGGACCATCAAGCTTGGGGTTGCAAAAACAAGAAGAATGTTAAAAAGATCAAGGATGTCAAATCCTCATCTAGGAGATTTTCCCTGTATTCGTTGGGCTGTGAATATTGGAAGGCTCTAGCAGATTGCAACTTCTGTCAATTAGACCAATACCAGAATTTTTACTCCCCCCCCCCCATTTAACATGTGGACAAATTCTGTTATGACTACACCCCCATAACTGTATGTTTCTGTAATGTGGTATGGCTCTGTGCAATGTTTAATAAGGTTATTCTATAACAAGGCTTGTTGGGATTCATATTTCTAATTCATTGTCATTCATTTCCCCCCATTTTCTATCTGGGGGTGATTTCTCAATATCAGCAGCAGGTGAGATTTGACAATCTCCACCTGCAAAAATTCTCTCCCCTTCGTGGCCATTAGATACGAGCTCTTCATACTCTGAGGCTGGCCATCATGGTGCTACTTAAACTCTATTGATTTGGTGTACCAGCAGAGGCAAGCCTCTAATCTGTGCAACCAAAGGTTTGATAAGATTTTTTTTTAGCCAGAAAGGAAAAAAATCAATAAATTTATCTTGCAAGGAAAGGAAAAGCATTTCCCAAGGTCAGACATTTGTGAAGGTGACATACAGTTGGTGTCTGTTTTCAGTTTGATAGAATCCTGCATAATTCCTTCTACTATGCCCAATATGTATTTATTTGCATTACAAGAATCCAGTTCCTCAGTGACTGAAGATAAGTTAACAAACTACAGGAATTCTTTACTTTTTTCCTTTTGTATGGTATTATGATTGTTGTCAAATTTTATTCTGCCTGTCCTGAAAAACAGATCAGGACACTGGCATGTGGTCTCTCCCCTCCCTCCAATTTTATCTGCACAACAACCCTGTGAAATAGGCTAGGCTGAGAGTGATTGGGAGGAGGATCACCTGGCTGAGCAGGGATTTAACTTTGGGTCTTCCTGTCATGTACTATCATTACTACATTCTCAAAGTCTTCTAAGGCCCCTGCCACACGGCAGGGGGAAAGCCTCTAAAAGCGTGGCTTTTAAAAGCCGCGCCAAAGTTGAGACGCCGCGGCGGGATCCCACGGATCCCCTGGCTGCGGCGCCTTTTTGGGGAGAAACCAGGGCCCTGACAGGGAGCCTGCCGAACTGCGCATGCTCCGACATGTCGGAGCATGCGCAGTTCGGCAGGCTCCCTGTCAGGGCCCTGGTTTCTCCCCAAAAAGGCGCCGCAGCCAGGGGATCCGTGGGATCCCGCCGCGGCGTCTCAACTTTGGCGCGGCTTTTAAAAGCCGCGCTTTATGAGGTTTTCCATACAGTTATGGTTACCACTTCAACATAGGGCCTGGAGTTCTCATAGAATTACAACTGATATCCAGGCTACATAGATTCTGCTGGAGGAAAGTGTAGCCCTGAAAGATGGACTCAATGGTATATCATAGAGTCTAGGCAAAATAGAAGTCCTAGAGTGGATACAGAGGGTAGTTACTCTAGGACTTCTGCTTTTCCTATGGTATACCCTAGAGAATAGGAGAAACTGATTGATGGTTACATGTAAAAACAGTAAAGGCAAGAATGGATTGAAAGAGGGATGGAACTGGTGTTGGCCAGCATCCTCCTGTGAGTCTTCAGGGGGGAATTTTTATCCTAAACACAGAAAAAAAACTTGATGAAGATTTCAAGAGGATTTTTTTTAGCTTGAGTGGAACGTACTTCGCTGATCTGATTATATATTTAGGCTCAATGGGTTAGTATGACATATAGAACACACACATACAGAAACCTACAAGTGATGTAAGGTGGGAGAAAAGGCAGGGGAAAGTGAGATGAGACAGGAACTGTAAATTTAAAATTTGCATTTTGGTAGAAGCTGACCACATAAGGAAAGGGAGGTCCTGGAGGAGCTGAACTTTGGTCTGCAAGTGCCATCACAGGATTTGTGATTTTACATCTCTGCTGAGCTCCCTTCCCTCCCCAAACTCCACCCTTCCCCGGCCCCACTACCAAACCTCCAGTCACTTCCCAGGCAAGAGCCAGCAGCCCTACATGTGGCATTAGGTGTAGCTGCCCACGAAACATGAAGTCAAAGCTTCCTTTGAGAGTTAACCACGTGATCCATTGGATCCATGCCATGAGTTTCCTCTAGTCCAGCATTTGATATCTCATGGCTGCAAACACATGTGAGATTCCTTTTTTTAAAAGCTTCCCAAGTAAAGACATTCCCAAAGGAAAATGTTTATTGGTTTCTATCCATCAGCTCAGCACATCTGGCTCTCGCAGTTGCTTATGAAATAATGGTGGGGGTGGAAAGTGCCATCAAGTCACAGCTGATTTATGACGACCTTCAGAGGTGGTTCGCTATTGCCTGCCTCTGCATGCATCACAACACTGGCATACCTTCGAGGTTTCGTATCCAAATATTTGCCAACCCTTCTTAGCTTCTGAGACCTGACCAGATCGGGCTAGCCTGGGCTATCCATGTCAAGGCTACAAAATCATACCATAAAAAACAACAATAGTAAAGCCAGCTCTAAAGAATGTGTTACTTTAACAAACAGCTAAAAGGAAATGAATATAAGAACAGTCTCAGCAACAGTCCTAGGCAATCCAAACACTTTCCTAAAAAAGAACATCTCAGCTCTCCTCCAACCACATCTGGAGGGGACCCCAGAGCAAGGCTACCACCCCTGGCCAGAGGAAGAGGTCCTCAGCTGAAAGGAAGGCGCTGTTTCCCAAAAGAAGATAAATGACATCCCTCATTTATAAAGTATAAATACCAATTAGTAGCACAACAGGAAGCTATTAATTAGATTGCCTGGGGATGGAGAGCTGAATGGGAGAATGATTTAAAATTAGTTGGAGAAGTCAGGGTAAGGGCTCTCTTTCTTCTTCTGTTAATCGCATGAGAACCCCCCACCCCGCTGTGAGTTCATGTAGGGTTCCCTGTGAATTCAGCAATGGACTGCAGGCATTTTTCACTCATGATGCTCAAAGCATCCTTGAACTTCTCACACCCAGTTATGTATGTGTGAATCTTAATGCAGGGGGGGAAATGGAACAAAGATGTATAAAAGCTGCACCTCCTGGATTTTTACCGATTTTCTGCAATCTTGCCCACACCTGAGATGGTTTGAGAAAGATCCAGCAAAGCCAGAGTGGCTGGCACCCAGGAGGATGGGAAAGTCCAGATCTTCCCAGTCCTGCCCACATTTCCTGGTCCCTGTCCCCCATAGCGGCTATTTTCCCCCAGCCACCAGAGGGCATGTTTTTCTGTAATTGGCAATTAACATATTGTTACAGCATTATAACACTATGGGTGCGTTTAGAAGGGGCGTTTCAGCCGGCATAAACTGCACCGGTTCCAACCGGAGCAGTTTATGCCGGCTGAAACGCGATCACACTTACCTCCTGTCTGCGGATCCCATTGCTGTATGCCCGTTCACATGCAGCGGGCATCGGCTTTTTTAAAAAAAAAACTCAGTTTGCACATGTGCACAGAATGGCGAGCTTCACACATGCGCAAAACACCCCGTCTTACCTTTAAAGTTTAAAGGTAAAGGTTCCCTTGCTCG